TGGGACATAAAATGATACTCGTGAAGAGTGTGCTTCTTAGCTCAAGTAGATACATGAGACTAAATGGGCAGCTCCTGTCCAGAGGCAAGATGAGAAGGCAGAGGGTCAGGAGTTGGTTGAGTGGACACAGGAAGTCAGGTGGAAAGGAGGAGTGTGCTGTCACAGTATGGGGAGAGCAATTACAGTCACATAACAATATGTATAAATTTTCATATGGGAGACTAACTTGAAATGTAAACTTTCACTTAAACTACAATAATTAACAACAACAAAAATGCTGTGGAAACATGCTAGGCTTATGGGAAGAAAAATAAGATTGGCAAAGAAGCTAAACTTAAAAACCCTAAAGAAGAACGATGGTTGTGAAATTTGTAATTTTAATAAAACAACTTCTCATTTAAATAATTAAATTTTGAATAGCTTTACTGCCTATAAAATCTGTTCTTGAGAGCACCAAACCAAACCAACTGAAGGAACAAACAAAAAACCCCCCAGCAACTGGCAAATCTCATAAACTTACGTGTTCTGATGCCTGCCGTCCTTGGGTGTAAAAGGTAAGAGTGGGAAGGAGATTCTACATTCTTTATACCAGACCATTAGGAAACACATCACTTCACTTTATACCAGACCATTAGGAAACACATCACTTCACTTTATACCAGACCATTAGGAAACACATCACTTCAAAGAGACTCAAGTGTAAGGTACATTCTAGGTAAGAATTTCCCAACTTCTTCGCTGCAAATACTTTTTTTCAACAACATAAGCGTTGACTATACACGTGAACCTTGCCAGGCAGAACACACAGGAATCAAATCGACTACATCTGTGGAAACAGGATGGAGAAGCTCAATATCAGTCAGAACAAGGCCAGGGGCCGACGGTGGAACAGACCATCAACTGCTCATATGCAAGTTCAAGTGGAGGCTGAAGAAAATTAGAACAAGTCCACAAGAGCCAAAGTACAACCTTGAGTATATCCCACCTGAATTTAGAGACCATCTCAAGAACAGATTTGCTGCACTGAACACTAATGACTGAAGACCAGACGAGTTGTGGAAGGACATCAAGGACCTCACACATGAAGAAAGCAAAAGGTCATTAAAGAGACAGGAAAGAAAGAAAAGACCACAATGGATGTCAGAAGAGACTCTGAGACTTGCTCTTGAACGTAGGGTAGCTAAAGTGAAAGGAAGAAATGATCACGTAAACGAGCTCAACAGAAGATTTCAAAGGGCGACTCGAGAAGACAAAGCATTATGATGAAATGTGCAAAGACCTCTAGTTAGAAAACCAAAAGGGAAGAACATGCTCAGCATTTCTCAAGCTGAAAGAACTGAAGAAAAGATTCAAGCCTCGAATACAGGGAAAATATTGAACGACGCAGGAAGCATCAAAAGCAGATGGAAGGAACACACAGAGTCACTGTACCAAAAAGAATTAGTCGACGTTCAACCATTTCAGGAGGTAGCATATGATCACAAACTGATGGTACTGAAGGAAAAAGTTCAAGCTGCCCTGAAGGGAATGGTGAAAAATACGGGTCCAGGAATGAGGGAATACTAATTGAGATGTTTCAACAAATGGATGCAGCTCTGGAGGTACTCACTCGCCTGTGTCAAGAACTTTGGAAGACAGCTTCCTGGCCAACTGACTGGAAAGGATGCATATTTGTGCTCATTCCAAAGAAAGGTGATCCAACAGAATGTGGAAATTATTGAACAATATCATTAATATCACACATTAGTAAAATTTTGCTGAAGATCATTCAAAAGTGGTTGCAACAGTACATTGACAGGAAACTGCCAAAAGTTCAAGCCGGATTCAGAAGAGGACGTGGAACCAGGAATATCATTGCTGATGTCAGATGGACCCCGGCTGAAAGCAGACAATACCAGAAAGATGTTTACCTGTGTTTTATTGACTATGCAAAGGCATTTGACTGTGTGGATCATAAC